ATTGCTTCTCAAAAGCAAGCGCTGAGTCATCCTAGCGATGAAGTAGGTTTTGGTGTACTTCAGTTAGTTCCATATATATCCCTCGAAAAGTTTGTGTTCTTCAACAAGCAATTAGGGACCTTTAGATCCGACGACGAGTACGAGTACGAGTTTTTAACTTTAAAAGAGAGGCACTATCATTTCGTAGTCGTTATAGAGTACGTATAGGATGAAAATTTAGATTGCAAAAAAAAAAGAAAGAAAAAAATCGAAAATCCACTACGATTCAGTCTTAACCACGCACACAGGACCAATTTTAAAACTCGTCTTCGTACTTTCTCTCGTACTCTCCGTCGGATCTAAAGACCACTATGAATGCCATGGAAAGACTTACGACGGTAATGTGTGGATATAACGTTACCAGAAACATGGATAAACGCGCTTGCATACTTGGGATTCCTTTTCAAGAATGCTAGGAAAACTGGTTATCGATATTATTGATATTTTTTAATTGATTGATCAAAAAGGACCATACTTCCAGACATCGATTGCTGAACCGTCGTATGGCAGCGCGAAGCATTTACGGCTACGCCGGAGATTTCGACCCCGACACCGCTATCCGGGATTTACAGACTGATCAGGAAGCTCGGCCGAAGCCTAAGGGAGAGATTGATGATTAGATGATTAACCCCTTGCTATGACCAGCAGACCAAATGACCGATTTTGTCGATAATGACTAAGAGGCCAYGTTCTCCTTTTTCCATGTGGGATGCCTTTTTGGCAGAATAAAATAGACCCCTTGCATGTGACGTCAAAACAGCTCGTTCTGGGGGACAAAACAAAAGAATTCCAATCTCCTGAGAATTGGAACCTATATGCTCAGATTTTGAGCTGCATTCCAAAGGGCTGAAGGAAGTCCATAGCCRCAAAGTATATTTGCACGCAAACTTGGGGGAAATATCTTTGATAGACGGCAAATTTTGGTGTGATAAGACTAAATAGAAAAATGGGAAGATTCTATCAACGAGTTGTCCAGTCCGTCATGTCATGTGCTGCGACTCGGGGATTTCTTTCGAGCGAGCACAAGGAGAAATGACACGAAGATTGGGATTACAGTTCGAGCACGCGCACTTGAAAGTTCGTGATTGAAAGCGCCCACCAAAATGCGCTTACGCATCGTTGTCGCGGACTTCACATGCGCGCGGGAATCCGCGCGCGCATTCAAATACGAATGCAACGATAAGGCGCGCGCCAACTGCCAAAAAATCCAAAACAAAACCGTTATGATGAATCGCTCTGATTTTTTTCAAACGTTTTATTTGTCGTAAAAAATGTCCGAAAACGAAGATATAGCGCAGCTTACCTTCCCAGAAAAGCTTTGGTACTTGGTCAATGAGCCCAAATGTGATCACATTGCCTGGGGCCCTGAAGGACTAAGCATCGTCATCACCGATAGCCAGGAATTCTCCAAAAACATTCTCAACAATCCTGCCAAAACCTAYTTCAAAACAAAAAACCTGACAAGCTTCGTTCGTCAGTTRAACCTATATGGYTTTCGCAAAGTATCGGATCACAAGAGAGTAGGGGATTCGCGGCAGGACCCCAACAGATGCGAGTTTAAACATCCATCATTTAGGAAGGACAGGAAAGGTTTGATCCCAATTTGAAATTTATAAATAATTTTCCGTTAAAATCGATCTGTGAGTATCGATAAAAGAAGTACCATCACTTACCTTGCAAAAGTGAACCATCGAATTAAAATATCTAGGATCAATGCTTTAGTTCCTGATCAAAGACCAAAATTAGTCAAGGACGAATTTCCGAAATTGTGATTTTTTT